ATTTAAATATTTTAGCATTTTAAAAAAGTAAATCAGAGCTAAAAAAGTGCAAAAACACAGGCAAATTTGCCTGCATTAGTCTACATATTAAGGGATAGTATGTAGATGGCTCTTCAGGCTATCTATGTGCTATTCAATAACCTCTGCTATAATTTCTACTCCTCCAGGAAATAAATAATACTAATGCAGATTTCACCCTCATGTAATCTGCAAGATTTAACCAAAATTTAGTGTTAGACAGTTTTTACTTTGTTATATTATTATAATAGATTAGTATAGATAAAGAAGTATTATATAATAGTATTATATGTTTTAAAGTTTAAATTAATAATAATTAGTAAATTAATAAATATAAAAAAGTTGTTTTCAATCTTATAATAAAATTATTTTTACAAAAATTTAATAATATTTAACAATAACTTCATCATTTATTTTATTTGATGATATTTTGGATACTATTCAATTAGAATCTTTACAATACCAAATAGAAGAATTTCAAATAATTTATCAATCTAATATTGAAATTATATCTATTGATAATCAAATTGAACAAAATTCTTATAATCAAGAAGAATTTAATGAATTTGATATTTCAAATAATTTTATTTTAGATGAATCTATTTTAGAAGAATTTATTTTAGAAGAATCAATTTTAGATGAGCCTATTTTAAATAATGAACAAATAAATAAATTCAAAAATATTTATTTAAAAAATAAAATTGAAGATATTGAGATAATGATTTAATTCAAAATATTAAAAAAAAATTAGATAAAAAAAATGAAGAAGCTCAGTATAAAAAATTACAAACTATAATATGTTGTAATAAAAGATGTCTTCATGTAGTTTAATTTTTTATAAACATGCTATTAAAAATTATTAATAATTTCAAAATTTAAATAACAATCAAAAAGACATATTTTTATTAGGAATTTTATCAGCAACTACTTGAAAAGCAACTACTAAAGAAGGTCAAAAACGCAATAAACTTGATAATAAATATATTTTTGAAGGAGTAAAAATTTGTAGAGAAGCATTTTTAATAATTTATAGAATTGGAGAAAAATATTGAAAAAATATTCGATCACATTTTATAGAGCATGGAATTAATCTAAGAATTTATAAATTAACTGAAAAAACTAGTAATTTTGCTATATTATTTGAAACAGTTTTAGAAATAATTACTTTTATAATAAATTATGCGAGTATTCATGGTTTATCTTCTTCAGGTATTTATAATTTAATTTTTTAAATAATTTTATTATACTGTATAATTAATTATTAATAATTTTAATTAATAAAGGCTGACATTTTCATAAAGATACTTTATCAACAATTTTTCTTCCTTCTAGTAAAAGTTATACTTCATTATATCAATTATATAAATTAGCAAAAGAAGATCAAGATTAAAATATTATTCATGGATTTACTTTTTGGCATATGTGGAATAAATATATTCCTAAAATTAAATTTCTTTCTCCTTGAAGTGATTTATATTTTAAATGTAAACAAATGCAGTTTAATTCAAAATATTGGACTAATCAAGAAACTGAATTATTTATACCTGAATGGAATAAACATTTTCAATGAGCTCAAAAAGAAAGAGAATATTATAGGTATTTTTATAAATAATACAGTATTTTTAAATATAATATATAATTTAAATTTAATTTATTATTTAATATTTAGAAATTGTATTAAATCAGCAAAACATGCTTTACAACAACTTTCTAATTTATCTCGATCTAATTTACCAAATTCTATTAATATTACAAATCATATATCATGGGATTTTGCTGAACAAATAAAAATACCATATTCTTTATAACAAGAGGTATAAATTTATTCAAATATAAACAAATTTTATTTAATATATAATATATTTAAATAATAATTTTTTATAATAGAGAGTTAATACAGAACTCTTTCCGTCGATCATTAAAACCAAATCTGGAGCTAAAGAAAAAACAAAGTTTGACAGGTCCTTTATTAAAACAACAATAGAACTAGCTCTAA